GGTGCCGCCCTCGGGCTGCCCTGCCTGGCCCGGCCGCCCGAGCGGCTCTGCTTCGATGACTCGCTGTATTTTAAGATCCAGGATCAGGCTGAGAGCGCGGGGCTAGACAGCAGCGCTGAGGAAGGAGCCCTGGCTCTGAAGGAGCGGGTTTAGGCAGTGGCGTTCGTGCAGCAGCAGGGAGGGCCAGGGAATGTTACCGGCAGGATCAGCAGGCAGGAGATGCTGCCTGCACTCGCTCCGGCCCCACGCCTGGAGCCAGCTGCCATGGGTGCCGGCACTGCTCACCTCTCCGTCCTCCCACCCTGCAGCTGCACCCCCGTCCCGTGTCCCAGTGCTCCTAGCATCCGCTCATTGCCGGCAGCAGCCAGAGAAACGACCTGCCCGTGGTGTCTCCCCAGGATGGTTAACAGCCCCGACGAGCCCAGACGGCCGCTCTGCAGGGCACTGGCTTCGGCTGCTTCGCCTCAGCGAGCGGCATCACCCTCAGTGCCCACCCCGACCCTCAGCTCCAGAGTCCCCTGCCCACAACGGGCAGCACTGGAGGAGGCTGCCAGGTCAGGCCACAGCTACAGGAAAGGAGCTCGGCATCCACTGCCCGGAACGTGGGACTGCAGCAGCAGCGAGATGGCTCCGAGCAAAGTCCCTACAGGGATTTGATAACCTGAGCTGGGCAATTCACCCTCCAGGAGAGTTTGCAAAGGGAAGCGCCAACATTTGTTACCACTGGGGAAGCAATGAGGATGCAGCCCGAGCACGGCGAGGAGCCTCGGAAAGAGCCAGGATGCAGGAGGCACCCGCAGCCACAGCACCCTCATCCCACCCCGAAGCTGGAGCTGGGAAAGCTGCGCCAGCATCCCAGGAAGAGCAGCGGCCCCATCCCATCCCATCCCATCCCATCCCATCCCACCACGGGCAGCGAGCCGCTTGCACCCTGCGGAGGACAAAGCCTGCGGTCCGCGGCTGGCATGCGGCGGGCTGGGAGCGCGGGGCCGCATCCTGCGCGGAGAGCGCGGCTGTGATTCACATCCCCCGCCGGGAATCACCGCTGCCCCCGCGCCCCCACGGGCCCGCTGCTGCCGAGACAATGCGGGCCATGCTCGCGGGCTCCCGAGGGGGCCGAGGCCACCGAGCCCCCCAGCGCTGGCTGCAGGAGTGGGGGGCTGGCGGCGAGGTTGGGGGTCCCCAACCCTGAGCGGGTGGGAGAGGGGCTGGATCCCTTCCACCCGGTGCAGCCCCAGGCGGAGCCAACACCAAGAGGGAGAGAGGCTGGGGAATTCGCCCTCCAATAATCACAAACAGGCTTGGGGGGCCGGGCGTGTTTGGTTAATTGTTAGAATAAAATATTGCCGAGCTGTGACAAAGAAATCCTGCCCCGCAGCCCGGCGCGGCCGAACAATGGGCCCCGGCGCAGGATGCTGCGGGCTGAGCAGTGGGGCCGGGGGCCTTGGGGGCGGGAGGCAGCTCGGTTCCCCCTTCCCCAGACGAGCCCCAGAAGCCCCTCATCTTCTTGGCAGCTCAGTGTGGATGTGTCCCACGGCGGTGTGGAGCCACCGGAGCGGGGACCGGCCCGGCCCCTCCGCAGTGCCCGGCTCCGCTGGGTGCCGAGAGCCGCCGGGACCGGCACCGGCCCGGGAAGCCGCGATCGCATCGGGGCACAACCGGCAGCGCCGGGACCTGCGGGTTCCTCTGCAGCCCCGGCACGGGCTCAGCGGCACCGGGGGCTGAGAGACCCTGTCGGGAGGCAGCCGTGGAGGGGAGCCCCATGCACAGGCGCTCACACACCTGAAATCACACACCCGTGTGTGCACAGCCCTGCACACATTCACAATATACAAGCCCAGACACGCATGTATACATACACACACATGTGCACACACACACATGTACACACATGCATGTGATGCACGGGCACACATGCACACACACATCTGTGCACACACATCCCAGCGCTCGCTCACATCCACACGCAGGCACAGTCCCGAGGCTGCGAACCCCTCGCTGTCGGGGACAGCGGAGCAGCCGCTTTCCAGCATCTCCCAGCCCTTCCCGGCGAGGATGAGGACGCAGGCTCCCGCTGAGCAGCCCGCGGCACCCAGTAGGGGAGCGAGCAATGAGGGCGCAGGGAGGGAAGCACACCCGGAGCCGGGCCTGGGCACACCCCGCCTCCCGGCTGGCATGTCCTGGCACGGGCACCCTGGCACGCCGCGGCACAATCTGGTCGGCAGATGCTCCAAAAACCAGCAAGAGGCTCAAGAAATGATGGGGGCGGGGGGTCAGCGCTTTCCCACTGCCCACAGGGGCTTGGGCGCCTGGTGACCCACGGCCAGGGGTGCTGGGACCCACCTGGGTCATGGCACGGCTCCATCAGCCCCAGTCCCGGCCACCCCTCCTCCCTGAGACCCGCTGCGCTGTTCTGCCTCTGGGTGTGCTGCCCAGAGCTCCCCGCTCCTCCAAACCAGTCTCTCTCCAAAGGATGGAGCAGTCAGATATTTTGCAGAGCCTCCAGCGTTTATCACACTGTAAATCTGGGCTTTCAGCAGCTTCACGAAGCTGCAGGGAGATGGGAGAGAACAAAACGCTGCTCTGCTCCATCAGACACAGCCTGCGTGTGCCAGGGCTGCCAGGGGTTGGGTCCCCAGCCCTGCTGCAGAGGGAGTGAGGATTGAAGCACAGGGCTTATGTGGGCAAGGGTCCCGCAGAGCCAAGAGGGGCTGCTGGCAGCCCAAGATGGTGATGGCTCGGGGACAGCTGCATTTCAGTGGGACACTGGTGGTGAGGAGGGCTGAAACGTGCTTCTGTGGAACCACAGCAGCCCCTGTCCCCCAGTATGGATCCCTGGCAAAGCTCCCCACACACAGTTCTCGGGCACGATACCCCGCTGTGGACCCGCAGCACTGCACCTGGGCACTGCACCCCTGTACCCCACTCTGCTCCCCCCTCACTGTCCCCCAGAACAGTGCCCCCCGAGCCGGGCTCTGCTGCTGCCTCTGAGCTTAGCCCCGAGCCGGGCTGGGATGCAGCCCACTGGTCCTGGCAAGGAGTACCAGCCCCATCCTCGCCCCCATCCCTGTCCCCACAGCCCCTCCACCAACCCCCAGCTCCCAGCGGGACCCTGCTGGGATTGCAAAACCAGCGGGGAGGGGGGGAAGCCGGGATTGTGCTCGGATGATCGGGCAGAGCGAGCCGGCGGCACAGGGCACAGGGCACAGGGCACAGGGCAGGGTGTGGGCACAGCCAGGAGCCCCCAGCCCTGCATCCCCTCAGCTTCAACACCCATGTGCCGCCTTTGGGGCCACAGTGAGGAGGGATTTGCACAAGGGCTCACAGGGACCCTGGCCAAGGCAGGGGCTGGCTGTGCTCTGAGCTGCTGCCAAGTGCCTGGCACAGCACAGGGGCACTGGGGGGCCTTGGCAGCGGCTGGAGCCACATCAGAGCGGCCCCCCCGGAGCAGCCGGGAGCGAGCGGTGCTGCCCTCGAAGGAAATGCGCTCACTCCCATGTGCTGCACACTTGGGTTCGCCTCGCTGCTATTTTTATTTGACTTTTCAGGGCCTGTTTCCTTTTTCCGGCTGTTTTTGCTGTGATTCCACCATCACAACGACCTCGTTTTCCCCCTCCCTCCCTGTTGCTTCTTCCTTCACTCTTTCCTTCCTTTCCATGCACTCATGCCCACTGGCAGACCGGGTTCCCAGCAGCAGCTGCCTGTGAGGGAAGGGTAGCAAAGGGAGGTGGTTTTTGCTCTGGTTTATCTGGGAAGGTGCTGACAGGTCACTGGAGGGGGACTTTGATAAAGACAAGGGCTGTGAGTCACCCTGTCCCAAGCCATCATCCCGATCCTGTTGGTGCTTGAGCTGTCAGGTCCTGCCGTGGCCCCCAGCCTCATCCACGGGATATCAAGTGTCAGTAGGGCTATTTTGGGATGCTAGTGGTTTGTGGAGGGATGGTGGTTGGGATAAGGGAGGAGGAATAAGAAAAAAACCTAGGAACTGAACCAGTGCAAAAACTCCTGCGGGGGCAGCAGAAAAGGCAGTGCTGGCTCCTGAGGAGGAGGATGGGGCTGAGAGGAAGGAGTCCAGGCACTATGGGGCCAGCCGGGGGGAGCACGGCCCCAGGAAGCCTCTGGCATTGGGATGTGCTGAGCTGTGGCTCCCTGGATGGCCCCTGGTGCCAGGCAGAGAGCATCTTCCAGGGACCCCACAAGAGCAGCATCCCCAGGCTGCACCCCCTGCTCTGACCCCCAAACCAGGGTCCCTGTCCTGCCCCATCAAACCAACCGCTCCTGCCTGCTCCCTGCTCCACCCCGGGGACTCTGATGTCCACCCACCCCTGGTTATGAAACCCTTCCAGCTCCTCCCAGCCCAATTCCCAGAGGCAGGGAGTGGGCAAGGACCCCTGAGCATCCCTTGCCTTTCCCTCCCTGAATCCCTCCTTCGTAGTTTGAACCCCCAGAAACCCCCAGGGAAAGCCGCCCCCCACCTCCTTCGGGGCATGAGGGGCACCCCACTCACTGGCAGCGCTCACTGCCCCCCTGGGCACAGCCGAGGCTCAGCGGGGACGAGGCCGGCGATGCTGGTGTGGCCATGGGAACGGGGGGAACGGGCAGTGCCCGGCTCCGCTCAGCACACACAGCCCGCTGCTGCCATCTCGTGTCCTCCACAGCCCCTCGGGGCTGCGACAGCCGCCACACGGGCCGACGGGCTGGGGAAACTGAGGCAGGGCACACTGCTGGCCCTCCTAGCTGTCACTCCAGGGAAACTGAGGCAGGGCACACTGCTGGCCCTCCTAGCTGTCACTCCTTCCAAAAAAGCAGCGCCTGGTTTCCATCAGCCACACCAGGGATGCAGACAGAGTGAGCAGAGGCAGGATGCCACTGTGCCCTCCACTGCTGTGGGCTTCTGCCTGGGCTTCCATGGACCCGGCACCATGGGCAGACCCAGCACTGTGCCAGCTCCATCCACAGCACAAGAGCCCCTGGATCACCAGATAAAGCACCCAAAGTACTTCCAGGGAAGGAGAGGTTTTATTTCTGGCTTCCCAGAGGCTGTTTGCCACCCAACAAAGCAGTGGAGGCCACAGGCAGAGCACAATGACAAGGGAGGATGCCCTGACAAGTGAGGGTGCCCTTCACCTCACCCCACCATTCCCTCCCTGCTGGGGCACCCACAGTGCCAAGCAGCCGGGTCCCTCCACAGTGCTGCCTGTCACCGAGGCTGAGCCTTGGCCTCAAACCCCCACACTGCCTGGCATGTTTGGATATCAGAACCCCTCAGGCTTCCCCAGGTGCCCAGTGATGCACCTTTACTTCCCTGTCCACTGTGGGTGCCCGGCTGCTCTGCACATCCCAGCAGAGCCTCGGGGACACCTGTCCCCATGCACAGCTCCAATGACCTCAGAGCCTTGCAGATGCACTGTGGCCTCACTTCCAGCAGAGCCCCCAGAGCCATGGCCCCACATGTCCTCTTTCTGCCCCAAAACACACCCATTGTCCTCAAGAGAGCAGCAGGTGCTGCAGGGCCGGGAGTGAGCAAGAATCCACACCTCACCTTCTCTTTTGTGTTCTTCCCCTTCTTCTTCTCAGCATTTCTGGTGCACCAGGTGTGTGCCACAGCCATCCCACATCACACCAACCTGCCAGCCCCAGCCAGGGGTGGTGGCTCCAGTGCCTGGGCACCGCTTGGAGCAGGAGGATGAATTCAGCTTGGGCATCTGCTGGCAGCAACCTCTCCGCCCTCAAGGCTGAGTTTGTCCCAGGTTCCCAAAGGAGCCACTGGCAGCCCCGGCGCTGGAGCAGCACATCCCCGCGGCGTGGGGCGAGGGCGTCCCTACGAGTCCCAGGGCACCTGGCGGGGTGCGTGCAGGGCATTGAGCTTCTCCCAGCAGGTCGCCAGCCTCTCCGCCTTCCTGCCGATCTCCCGCAGCCGCTTCCTCCTGCGGGCGGCCGCCCCGCGCCGCGCCGGGGCCGCTCCGGTGCGCGCCGGGCTCTGCGGTCCGTGCGCCGGGGGAGGCGGCAGAACCCCCCCACACCACAGACACGTTAGTCAGGGACATGGTCTCAGGTCCCCAGTAGTCCCCAAAGGTGGCTGCCCCTGTTTGAGCTGCCCACGGACACCAGGTAAGATCTCCAGAGCAGCAGCAGCAGCTCGATCCCACACCAGCAGACCTCAGGCAGGGTTGTCACCAGCCGATGTCCCCAGTGGCAGTGACAGGGAGGACAGTGCCAGCCCTGTGCCAGGGTCAGGCAGAGCTGGGAGCTGGTGCTCTGCTGCCCTTGGTTTTCCCTGCTGTTGCTGCCACAGGGATCCTCCTGGATGAGGTTTCCCCAGCAGAGCTTTGGAGATGCCAGAGGAACCCAGACCAGCCCTTAGGGGAGAAATCCCAATTCTTGCATATGAGCACTCAGGAGCAAGAGCAGGACAGGGTGAATGCACCCACAGGGTGCCCATCCCACCAGGACAAGGCCTTGCATTCCCCTCAGCCAAGGCATCGTGGCACATGTGGAAAAACCCACTTGGGAGCCAGTGGCAAAACCCCACCAGCCTGGCCCACACTGCCACAACTAAACTTCCCTCCCTTGGTTATTCTGAAGCTCCCAGGGATGATGGATGTGCAATCAGCATTCCCCAGCTCCTGGAGTGAAGCAGGCAGAGCCTGGACACTCCTCATGGGCAGCCAGGAGAGAACAAAACAAGGCAAGCTCTGCCCACAGCCCTTGGAATAGGGAATCACTGGTGTGGCTGGGAAGTAGAGAGCTTCCTACCTTGCTGATTTTCCTGCAGTTCTCCCGGAGCACAAAGTTGGTGTTCCTGGCCACCCTCCAGACCGCCAGCTCCTCAGGGTCCTGCGGGGTGCCGGCCCCCACCTCCCACAGGGACATGCTGATGTTGTAGATGGACAGCAGGATCTTCTGGTCCTGCAGAGGAGCAGCACAGAGCCCCGGCAGGGAGGGAGGCTCCGTGGCTCCCTGGGGCTCAGCCCACACGATGCCCCAGCCCTGGGTCCCTCCATGCTCACCTTGTCCGAGCGACAAGCGGGCCCGGCCCTCCCGCTCCTGTACGACCCAGTCAGGTTTCTCTGGAGAAATAAAGCAAGAAGATCCAGCAGCTCGCAGGATGGGCGCTTCCCACTTGGAGCAAGGATCCCCCAGTTAAACACAACCCTTCCCCAGCACTGCTGGCAAAGCAGACAGCTCCATATGAAGCTTCCCTCCCCACATCCCTCATCAGGGCTGCATCCAGCCCAGCAGTGTTCCCAGGGCCAGGGCCCTGCCTCTGCTCACCAGGTTCTGGATCTCATGGAAGATGACGGCGCGGTACTGCCGGAGGATTTTGGCGATGCTGCACCTCCTGCCTCTGCTCAGCACGGCCACCAGCACGAGCAGCAGAACAGCACAGGAGAGCGCCCGGGGGAAAATCTGCCAGGGAAGGGCGCAGAGTCAGCTGGGGATTAAGGGACGTTCTGGGCTCTGCCTTCAAATCCTAGCCAGAAGATCCATTGGGCCTGTAGCTGAAGATGCAACATGTGAGGGAGGAGCCTCAACTGTCTCCTCTCCCAAGGAACATCCTCCCAGATGAGCCATCTCCCCCTGGGGCAAAGCCCTTGGGAAGCTGCTCCAGCTTCAGCCCAGCAGCGCTGCCCATGGCACACACAGAGCTCTCTCTATGCCAGCAGTGGGTTCTTGGCACAGAGCTATGCCAGGGGCCTGTGGCAGTCTGTGGGGCTCATCCCTGAGCTCTCTGCCCCAACATGGCTCCACTAGATCCCCCCTTTGTGCCATTTCAAGGCCAGAGAACCTCAAGCACCAAAACCCAAGGGGAGCAGAGAGGGAGGTGCTGTGCTCCTTGGAGAGGAGCTGGAGGCAGGAGCCACCTGGTCCTCACCAGCAACATCCACACCTCAGCTCAAAGCGATCCAAACACCCTCCAGAGGATGCTCCCACACCTCTGCTGTATGGGTGGAACTAATACAGCATTTTTCCAGCTTCCTGCAGCTCAGGCTCATCCCAGGCTTGAGGGCCTCACCACAAGCAGCACAAGCATCTGCTCTCAGCAGCACATCCCAGCTGCTGCTGATCCTCCTGGCTCCAAACCTCCAACAGCCCCGTGCTGGCCTCTGCAGAGCGGGGAACCCCAAGTGCTGACACCTGAGCTGGCAGAGGGGCACAGGGAGGGGGTGGATGGACCCTCCGAGGCAGGGATGAATCCCACAGCTTTGAAGAAAAGCCAGCACAAGCTCAAGTGACCAGGATTGGGGATATTTGAGCAGCCCAGCAGCAGAGTGAGGATGGGGAGCTCAAAATCTGTTCCAGGAAAGGAACCCAACAGCTCAACACGTCTCCACATTCTGAGCCATGGCACAGCCCTGGGGCCCCATCCTGGCATTTCTATCATTTCACATTTTCAGGAAAAGTCCCCCCCAAACACAACCCCCTCCCAAACAACCCTCATGCTGCAGGTGTCAGGTCTGGGCAGGCAGAAAGCAGCTCACCTCCTTCCAACTATGCAACCCCTGTGCTGCAGCCAAAGCGAGGGGGAAGGGGTCACAGCTCTGCCTGCAGCCTGTGCCTGCTGCTCCCCACCTCGGTTCAGGGGTCACTGCCTTCCCCACCACATCTGCACTTGCTCTTCTGCTCCAAGAAGCCAGAAGGAAGAATTTCCCTCACTGAATTCCAAGGCCAGGCACACTCCATCTGTCCTCTTTGGTGAGTACCTGGGGGGTTTGTTGGTAAAATTCATACCTGCTCTGTGCTCCCTACTCAACCCTGAGCTGGACCTGGTTCCAAAAGAGTAAGGAAACCTTTTCCCATCCTCTTGCAGCTCAATGGGAGCAAAAGTCAACACAGCAAGTTCTGGGAACACATGGACACAACCATCACCTCAGAGTGTGGGCACATGCAAAGAAAGGAGCAAACCCAGGTATAACCAGCAGAAATCCCACCAGGTTCTTCAGCATCCCTCATCACCACACACCTTCCAGCAGAGCTGTGCTGAGCTCCAGCTGGGAGCTGGGAAGGGCAGGGAAAAGCCTCCTTGTGCTGCTAGCTTTGCTCCCTGCAAACCACTGGGAGATCTTGCCCCAGAGGTGGTTAAGTAGAGAGCCAAGGGTATAATCAAAGGAGAGCACTGCTTCCATGAGGACACCCTGACCAAAGTCTAAGGGTTGCTCTCCAGAAGTCTCCTCTGCCAGGAAGGCAAGGCTGTACAATTTCACCATGAGAATGGGAATGACTTCCCTGAAGTGGTTTATTAAACACAGGGAGCCAGTTTCAGGAGAAAGCACATCATTTCCAGCATTCCAAGATGGCCAAGCCTGGGCTCAGTGCTCAGCCCAGAAGGAATTGCAGAGTAGTCCAGGGAACAGCCAGGGCAGGAGGTCGGTAGGTGCTGTAGGTGTTTCCTCCCACCATGGAAAGCAGGAAAGCAGCAGTGACAAGAGAGGGATGCAGGGAGACTGCGGCGGCAAATCCTCCTCCTGACTTCTCCTCTTTCAGGATAGAGGAGAACAAATTCAGCAGCTGATTTAGGGTTATTCCTTCTGCCTTTGCCCCCATCCCACAGCAACAAGCTACAGGCAGGTGGCACATCCCTTCCTGGGGCAGAGCTGGCAGTGAAGGAGCAGCCTTGGGAAGCGTGGGTGCAGGACAAGCACAGCTAATCTCATCCTCACGCTAATCCTCCAGCAAATACCAGGAGATAAGGGGAATCACCATTGTTGATAGAGCAGCTCCTGCTGGCATTCCTGCCAGTCCCAGCCAGCAGGGCAGCAAGGGGCAATTCCTGCTGCCAGCCTGGGAACCCCACTGGGGTCACCAGGTCCTTCCAGACAGATAGACTCTGTCCCTGACTACCTCCTACCCAAAGGGACTCTGTCACCACCCAGAGCCCCAAGGCAGGCACAGACCCTCCGTTCTCTACCACAGGACCAGCCAGATCCAAGCCCCATCACAGAGAGGTCTAAGCCTCATCCCAGCTGGACCAGCTTCCCCGGCCAGACCCGAGCCCCTTCCTCACGGACTCCCAGCTCTGCCCCATCGCGACCCTTCTAAGGATCCAAGTCCCATTTGGACCCAGCCCAGCCCCATTCCAACTGCTCCAAACCCTTTCCCAAGTGATCTGGCCCCATCCCGAGCAGTCCGACCCCCTCTCCCGGTGGATCCAAGCCTCATTTCAGGAGAAGCAGTCACCTCCCGCCAGGTCCCAAGTGCCAGCCCGGGCTCCGCTCGGTCGGCGGGCTGCGGGGAGGGTGTCCCGGAGCAGAGGCGGGGGTCCCGGGGCCAAGGGGGGTCCCGGGGCCAAGGGGGGGTCCTGGGGCCAAGGGGGTGTCCCGGCGCACTCACCATGGAGCCCCGCGGGCTCGGCCCCCGCGGCGGTCCCGGTCCGGCCCCGTCCCGCTGCGCCGGGCCCGCGGTTTGAACTTGGCTCCACGGTGGGAGGGGACGGGCCCGGCCGCCGGGGGGGGACGGGACACACGGGGACGGCACCGCCGCCGGCCCGGCCCCCCCGGCCGCGGGGAGAGCGCGGCGGGCCCGCCGTGAGGGGCCGGGCCCGCTCCGGGTGGGACAGGCTCCCCCTGCCCCCGAGGGAGCCCCTGCTCGCACCCACCCACCCGCGGGTTACAGCCCACGCGTGTCCCTCGCCCGGAGCTGCGCGCTGGGCTGCAAACCCCCGCAGTTTCGATTTCTGTTGGCGTGGGGCGATTCTTTCCCTCTGCATTCACAGACCGCAGTGGGTGAGCACTGTGACCCCCAAAATACCAACACAAAGAGTGTCCCAGTGATTCCAACCAAAGCTCTCTACTCCTTCCCCTCTGCATTTTGTACCGAGCCCCGAGCCCAGGCACAGAAATTGCCCCGACTCGATTCCTATCAATTTTGGGAAAAACTGAACGGACTGCAACAAGGCTCCGCTGAGGAGCTGAATGTGGGTGATTGAGTAAGAAATAGAACAAATGGTGAATAATCCAGCTCTGCTCAGCTTGGTGAGAACGTCCCTCCCCAGGAAGTGGGACCAACAGCACACTGCAGCATTCCATTGGGACAGGACCCATATAACTTCTTTATTGAGCTCTATATATAGCTAAAATTCATGGGTGCCATAATCCATTTAAAAACCACCAAGACAGCTACAAACATTAAAAGGCTCTAAGATTGATGGTCCCTTTTAAGTAAGAAAAAATAATCTCCAAGCTAAGGAACGTAGCCCAAAGGAAAGGGAAGCTGCAGGTACCAAGAGCAGGTGGCCAAAGGAGCCTGATGTTGTGAGAAGATGGCACAGTGTCCAGCATAGGGCCCCTTCCTTGGGGCTTCCACATCCCAAAAATTCCTTGCAAGATGTGGTGGTGCCACCTAAGCAAGGGGCAGGGGTGTAGCATGAGGACACACATCAATGCTAGGTTATGTGGCTCAAGGGAAATGCTCCCAATGCAAGTCAGGAATCTCTCCAGCAGGAAAAGCCACACCACTGCAATCCCCACTTCCCTTTTCCATCCCAATTCTGCAGCCACCAACACCACAGCACCACTGGGCAGAGGGATTTATGCACCACAAGCAGTCAGCTTTCCCCAGCACATCACTATACCAGGAATGAAAATGCCACATTCCTTGCCCAAAAAAAGCAGGATATAGCCCCCATGGGAGCACAAGAGGCTGAAGGACAGCACACATTTGAAAACTACTTTTAAAGTTGTTTTTATCCTGTAGTTTCTGCCTCAGCCTTGAATCCTTGTCCAGCCAGGGTCCCTTGCCATGTCTACCCTCTCCTTCAAAAATCACCTCCATTCCCCTTCCCAAACTCTTCCACTCTCTTCCAACAATGGCACAAAATCCCTAAGCAAGAGCCTCTCAACTCCCAATGCCTCTCACTCACCTTTGGGAAACTACAATTCCACGGGACATCTGTGATCTACACCCTTTCATCAGCTATTCCAGAGAATGCACAAGAGTTTCCATTAGGAAACCAAAGAAACAAAGGTTTTTGCTTCCAGACCAACCTGGAAGCAAAAGCCTTTCTGCTCCAGCGTTAGAAGATCCGTTTTTGGCTTCTCATCCGTTTTGGCAAGAGGCTGTAGCCCAGCTTGGTGTAGCCACCACTGGCAGGCACCTTCCCACAGTGCTGGGAGCCTGATAAGTCCAAAGGTTTCTGCTATCAGACCCACTCTTCCCAGTCAGAATTACACTCGAAGACAACAGAAGGAAACAAAAAAAAAAGAAGAAGCTGTATTTTATACATATTCTCCAACAAGTAATAAGGGAGTTTCTTCTCCAACTAAATAGAAGGGATAATGCACATCCACAGACCTGGATACAGCTGCTATAGCCTCAGGTGTAAGACAGTACAGCTTCTCATTCTGTGATCACAAGTCAGGAGGTTGGGGTAAAAATAGTATACATCACAAGTGTAGAAAATTGAAGAGTGTACAAAGGGTCCCAAACATAAAGCTTTCCCCCTCTTGAGTTTGCTTTTTTCTATCTACACTTGGAGGGAGCCATCCCAAACCTCCCAGCCACAGGCAGTCACAGCTGTGTAACAGCACAGTCTCCCAACAACTCTAAATAAATGTTCTTCCTTCAAAAGGGCTTTCAGGGATTGCTGAGTTTGCCTTGTTACTTCAAACCACCACTGTGCTTAATGAACTCAGATACCTAAAATAATAAGCTTTACTATATACATTTAAAAATTGAGGAAAAGTTCTCTAAAAATATGCTTTTGAATTTGACAAAATGCTCCAGCTGCTCAGGTTGGAGGAACACCTCCAAGCTGTGCAGCAGCTTGTTAGTAGAGACCAAACTAAAGCACCTAAAGAAGGGAAGCCAGCCCAGACCTTTCCCTGTGCTGCTGGGCTGCTCCCAAAACTGCACCCATCTTCTTCAAGGACACTCAGTGTATTCCAACAGCAACAACCCAGATCTGCTGACAAGGAACCAGGATCAGATGGGCCAAACACTAAAGGGGGACAGGGAACACATGCCAGGGCCAAGAACAGGGGGACTGCCACATGTCAGAATCCATACAAGCGCTAATTAAAGCTAGTGTTTGCAGGGGGAGTCAGGAATCAACATGGAAATGCAACAGAGCCTCACAAGACTGCTCCTGTCTCCTATGTGACACCAGCCACAATGCTCCCATGTGCTGCAGAAGCTGATGGCAATGCTGAGGAAAGAAGGAAGCCTCTTTTCCTTTTGGGAGAAAGCTGATTCCTATCATTATCCATGTCCTGTCCTTCGAAATCTGTGCCACTAGGGCACCACGAGCAGGTTAAGTCCTACAGGGACCTGCGAGGCAGCTGAGGCCAGCACACTCTAGAAGGTATTTTTCAGCTTGGCTGCAACAAGCACAAGAATCTCTCCAATCTTTTTCTGCCAGTTCTCTATATCCTTGGAGACATCACACCAGAGCTCTCCGTGGCGAGGTTCAGCATTCTCACAGCGCTTCCTCACCTCTTCTTGTTGTTCCTACAGGGAAGAGAAATTACAGTTTGTCCTGGTTTGTTCCAGAAGACAACCAAAAATTGAACCCTCCCTGATTCAAACACTCTTCCAAAGATTATGGTGGGGTTTGGGGTCTGTTATTTTCAAAGGAAGTCCAAGTCAAAATTCAGAAGCAGCAAGTCTCCTGCCTGGCTGAACTGCAGGTAAGTTGAAAATTGGCTGAGCTGCAGGTAAGCAAGTTTTGGTTATTGCAGAGAAACTGCAGCAGAAACTTCCTGTGCATTACCACCTGCAGGAGCTGTGTCAAGTGAAAGGTCTCTCTGAAGTCAGAAGATAAACACCCCCATCATTTCAGCAGAATCAGCAGTAAAAAGTGCTGGAAGAGATTAGAGTTGGCTGTTCCTCTGGCTGCATTCACGTGCAACCTGTACTCAACACTTAGGAAGAAGCAGTCCCAGTTGCACAAACCCAGAACCACAATTCCAGCACAATCCCCTCTGAGCAAGCTTAAGTTTTACAAGAGGAAGATTCATTTCAGAGATTTTTGCATGAACCAGCAGGACTGTGGACAGCAAAGCAGCCTGAAACACAGCTCAGCTAATGACAGCACCTTTGAAAAGCCACCACACAGGCCTGTGCATGCTCATTCATGACCAGGCGTGACACCCAGCCTCCCCTGTGACCACACAGGCAGGAGCAGTGGCAGCGTGCTCAGCCCAGCACTGCAGCAATCCCAGGACTGGGCAACCCCTGCCAGGCAGGGATTGTTGCTGCCTCCCCTGTTCCCAGGCACACACTCACCTCTGTGCCATGCTGGAGCTCAAATTTGTAAAAGAAGGCCCAGGCATCCCCCAGGTCAGAGTCTATCTTCACTGTGCGGTGGAACCACTCTCTGGCCTTGGTTATTTTCCGCTCGCTCCAGAACAGCCTGGTGGGAAAAGCAGAGGGGAGCTGACAAACAGCCTCACTTTAGAGGAAGATGGCAACCCACAAGAGCTCCAACTTAAAGGCTCTGCAGGCATTCCAGTTCTCTGCTCTCCAAGGAAGTAAACCACAGATTTTTAGGTAACCTGCAGACTATCCTGCCCCTGGGAAGGGAAGGGAGTGAGAGGACTGAAAAGAACATCCAGCACTTCCTATTCACTGCCCCACAGTGAGGCAGGATAACTTAGAGGATAACTCAGCCCCAGGCACAGACAGGCTCTGCTGAGAGGGGAAGCATTACTGAGCTCAGCCTTTGCTGCCTCAATTGCTTTAATTTTGCTGTTCTAGATTTCATGTCCAAGAGACAGGATTACATGCCTACATCTATTCCCACTCCTTCAATTTCTATACATTTCAAGTCAATTTCAGCATCTAACAATAAAATAACTTCTAAAACCTGCTAAGTGACTGCTGTATAGTCACATGCTCACACCTACACAGCCTGCTGGAGTGGAGTGGAGCAGACCTGCTTTGTCAGCCCCATTTTCCAAGGAAAAACAAGTATGGAAGCTTCTGCACTCAAACTCCAGCCTGGCACAGCCCCACTGCTGCCATTTCATCCAGGCACTGGCCAATGCTGAAATTTTTCCCCAGTAATGAACCAGCTGAGTCAAGAGTCTCTTGGTTTAACTCCTTTGCATTAAAGAGTTCATTTGAGCTATAAGGTCTTTATCAAATCAGCCACCCCTCATAAAGAGCTTAGTCTGTCATAAAATTATACAGCTTATGTGATTGTTGTTAAGCCCTATAATACTCTTGATTGTTCTGTGTTAAATAAACTGTGATTTACAAGAGCATGAACAATGATAGCAGAGGTTTAACACCTGCAAGTAGTGGCCATTTTCAGGAACATATTTAACAAAAGTTTGTCACAGATGTGTGACACTCTACCTACAGAGGCAAGTCCTGATGGGTGGTGGAAGCTGTTTATATTTGGATTAGCTGTTAAACAGCCTGAGGTTGCACCAGAAGGAGCCTGGGAGCAGTTGCCATAAAGCAAAAGTTAACATTTTTCTCACTTGCTGCTAAAGCTGAACATGTCAGCTGTCAGGATCTGGCAGAATCCAGTGTTGCAGTCACTGGAGTGTATCCTACAGTTTTCTTTGGCTTATAAACTAAGTTGTGAAAGAATTGGGCAACGTCGAGCAAAATGTCTCCTGTATTAACCTCTTCTGCTATTCACAAAGGGAGAAAAGTAAGTTTGTTTCCATCACAGCTGCTGTAAGGCTGTTCACACATCAGAGCAGGATGTGGCACACATCAATTCTAACAGTGGGTTTTAATCACTGGAATCCTCACAACTCAACCTGGACAAGAAAACAATTCCTAGTAGATTATATTCCCATTTCAGAGAAGCAAACTACAGAATGGCTGGTGGTTTGCATTCTGGGAAAGGGCACAGCTGAAGAACACTGCCACAGGGGACATTCAGGAGCAGAATATCTAGCTCAGAATTTAAAGACACCTGACAGAATCTAGGATAGAGAGAAAAGATGAAAACTACACAGCCACATAAAACTTCTAAAATAACTAAAAAACAAAAAAAGTCCCTATGTTCACAGATACTTAAAACATACCCTGAACCACTTAATAAAGCCTAGTTCACCTGACAGCACAGTGAAATCCTCTTCAAGGGACAGAAAAAAAGCAGATTGCAGGGGTTTTTGTGAGTGTAGGAGCAGCACTGGCTTTTTGTGAGTGTATTGCTGCCTGTGCCAGTCCCAGACCCACCAGAACAGCTCGAGGGCAGGCTGACATTCCTCACTTGGAATCAAGGGAGAGATTTGCACAGTTACTAGGAGACAGCTGGAGAGCTGTTCCTTGCTTTGGGACTTATTAGAGCTGCTGCAGCCAGAATCACATGGCTGTGCTGGAGTGCAGTGGTCCATCCTGGAAGCAGCCACATACAGACATGGATATATTTACAGCATCAAGCACAGACACTCACTTGGCCACAGCCAGCAGGACATGTGGGTCATGTTCACACTTCTTGAGAGCATCCACACTCTTGGTCTTTCGTTGCGGTCGTGCTTCAAGGAAAATTGCTTCTGACCACAGGATTCCTTAATCAAATCAAGTAGGAAAATTGTTTAGTGTTATTTTGAGGTTAACCCTCACCACCCTGGCATCAGGCTAGTGCTGTGCAACACAAGCAGCAGTACAGCCCCCACCCTGGCAGTTATTCACCCCCAACCTCATCCCAAACCACTCTTTTCACACAGATACTTCACTCAGTACTCTGAATTTTTAGCTGCTGTGTGCA